ATGAAATGGAAACTGGGGATTATATAGGGGATTATATAGGGTTTAAGGTTTCCCAAAATTAGGGGCATGTTTGGGGGGTCCCCATAGTAAGGACTATAGTGTTGCAGGGTTTTCATTGGGCTCCCTCTATTTAGGGAAACTACCATGTTTCACTTCAAACTTCCAACTGTTCTGGCACTGGCGACAGTGGCACGAGCCTGTGCATGTAGGATGCTTTAAGGGGAGCATCCTCGCTTGTCCCATAGCTGTACAGCTGTCCAAAAGATACTGCACTGGGAGAGATCCCAACCTTAGTGCCCTGGGCAAGTTGCTCAAGACCTGGCGAGCTTCAAATGGCCCAAGATAATATTGTGCACTGCAGAGATGCACCTTGCAAGCAGCGTCTTCGCACCTTGCGAGCAACAAGGAAAATCATGCGGTAGGGTTGTGAACTGCAGATGCAGCAGCTGGGGTAATGTGCCCATGTCCCATCACCCAAGATCCTGAGGATCAAGCACTTCAAGCTTGCAAGGCCGAATCTGGAATGGGCTTGGAAGGCAGCCCTGTTTGCAGTCCCTGTGCCCTTCTCGGGCGGCAAGAGGGCACACGCCTCAGAAGATCTTGATTTGTTTTGGAAGCCTACTTGCGGGGCTCGTTTGATTCCACGATCCTTTGTTCGGCCTTTTCAAACATTGGTAGCGTTATATTGTCTTATGCTGGGCTCCCAATTCGTGTGCAGATAGTACCAGCAACAATCCCGTCTTTTTCACATGGACAGCATTGCTCATGTTTTCGAGGGTGGCGTGAGGGAGTTTCTTGGCTGTGTATGCAGGCTGGTGGGTGCTGCAGCCATCTATCTCCTAAGGAGATCATGGCGTTTTCAGAACAATTTTAGGAGACGTATTTTAGAGGGACGCTGCAGGAGGATGTTCAATCTAAGCAGCTAACAAGTACCCAAGAGGCCAAACTCCGTACAAGAATGATGAACATTTGCAGCCTCACTGTGGCATCTGTGGGATTACAGATTGACCCTGGCCCTTGCCGGAGAGCCATGGTTCCTTCGCCTTCCATGGGCTGACTGCATCTGCTGAATCAGCATGACAGGCCAGGCACCCCTCTTCCAGGAACACAAGCAACGGTCCGGTGTGAAGTTTCGGCATAGAGCGTCTCTGCTAGAAAGTCCCGCGCTGGCCTAATAAACTGGATTGAGGGTTTCTGGCAGTTAATTTGAGATGGGAGTTCCCCATGCCTTCATGTAAGAGGGGTCTCGATCCACTCATGCCTTCCCTTTAGGGTAGCTTCAGCCCGCCTGCTTGTCGTGCGACTTTGGCTGGCTTGGGGCCACCAATGACCTCCTGGTGCTCAAAGGGCAGAGTGGAAATAGGTACCATTATAGGGTTATATGGGAATTCTATGCAGATTATTATAGGGATCCACTCCCCCACTCCCCCTTAAGCCCCAGTAAGATGAGGCCGTCATGGCCATGCTGCAAGAGGTCACTCTGCCAGGAGGACTGGCCCGGGTGTGCATTCACAGTCAGTACTTAGTAGTTTTCCTCCAGAGAAAAACCCCAAAATGGACCCCAATCAAGAGGCTATAATACTATAATCCTTATTAATCCTCACTATAGGGACCCCCAGAATGTATAGCCCCGCGTAAGTAGATAGAACATGGCTTTGACTATAATATTAAATTAAGATCCTCATATACCCCATATTCTATCTACTTAAGGGGGGCCCTAATTTTGGGGCCCCCACCTGGGTTCAGCCCAGGGTCCGCGTCCCGAAGCTGCCGGATGCTGGACCGAGGGGCACAATTTGGGAAGAGGCAGGGCTAAAAAGCAAGGGTTATATGGGGATTATGGAAAAGAAAATGGAAACTACAGGGATGATATAGGGGTTATATGGGGGTTATATGGTATATGTTGGGGTTATATGGGGATAATGGAAAAGAGAATGGACAGTACTATAATGGGTTATTTAGGGTTTAGGGTTTAGGGGTTCAACGTAGGGATATATTGTGGCATATAGGATTCAGGGATAGGATCCCAATAATGAAGAAACCAATTAGAAATGGATATGCAGGGAGATACCCCAGTAATGGAGCATCAAACAAGACCCTGGAGAATGAAATGGAAATTGGGATGATGAGGTAGTTCCCGCATTCCAAAACTCTCGCATCATTTGCAGAGCAGCATGTTGTACAAGTTTGGTAGAGTCCGTCGGTTGTACTTTGAAGCTTTCAAGGTCATCACTGCAGCTTCTGTTCTCATACTTCCATGTGAACTCAGAGCGGTGGGCTAAAGATGTCCTGCGCACTTATCATTTGCAGCCACAACCTTGATAAAGGTAGTAGTACTGGAATTAGTATTCATGTTATTAGTCTTAGTATCAGGGTTTCTGTTAGCATTACTCCTTTGTACTTTTGCAAAACCAGGTGCGGGCTGCGAGCAAATGCTCAATGCGGAGCGGTCGGAGCATCGGGCGCTTGGCCAGTCGACAGAACGAGCCAGCATGGAGCAAGAGTACAATGAGGACGGACAGGCTTTTTTCGTTGCAACACAACTCTATTATAGTTATGTAGTAGTTTCCATATCATTTTCCATTTGATTCTCCAGTATCCCATTATTAACCCTATGTAACTCTGCCGGTGCAGTGTCAGTATGTTTGAGTGAATAAGGATGCTCAAGCAGACGCCCAGATAGCAGCTGCATAGCAGACAGGACAAGCGCCAGCGAGGGCCACTTTCCCTCGCTTCCCAAAATCTCTGCCTCTGTTCGCGCGGCTAGTCAGCACATCCCATTTTTTGAGAAAAAGGCAACTCCTCGTGGCCGTAGGAGTGCTTGTTGTCTTTTGCGCAGGCATCATGAGCATGAGGGCCGTATGGCTAAGACAGTTGCCGTCCACTACCGTGCTTACTATTTTCATGACTGTGATCCCTGCACCCCGGAAATCTTCTTGGGCAATCTGCTGGACAATTGACTTGTGAAGTTAGCTCTTGATCTGGCTTTCCTGACAAATCCACAAGATGACATGACTTAGCGGCATGCATGGCTACATTTTCGCAGTCCCAGCTGGTGTATGATCACCTACATGCACGCGATCATGCTAGATCAATTTGTTCGTATTTCCTATGGCCGTCATTGCTATTGTGAAGCTAGTGCTTCCTAGCCCCCACCATCCTTCATTGCGTGCACTGCGGCTATTGGTGTTCCCTTTACAGTCATGATCTTGTGTAGAGTTTTTTGCCTACTCCTTCCTTGAGGCTGCCTCATTCGAAGAGATCTTTGCGGATGCACAGCGACGGGCGGTGCGCAGGCGTGCACAGGCTGGACTGTAGGGTAAGATCTGGGAGTTCCACAAGTAGGAATACCCGAAATACATTATTCTATAGTTAAGGTTTTAGGGTTACAGTCCTTTCAGGCCGGCACCTCAGTCCTGGGTTAAGTTCGATTTCGCGGCCTGTTACTTGCAAAGGCAATACATTGGCCATGCTAGTGTTTTTGTGAAGCGGTTTAATTTCGTCAGGAGGCAACCCAGCCATACACTTTCGACCATGTAAGCTCAGTCCAAAACACCTAAAGCCCTCAGAAGTGCCTGAGGAGGGCTCGCGGCACGCGAACATTAAACCCTTGGTTAGGCCTCCGCCCCTTGATAGTGGTAAATCGAGAATTACCGGTTCTTAACCTTCCCAACAATAGGAGATGCTCAATTTTTTGGGGTGTAGGAAGGGGCTAGCCCAAGTTTGCACTTAATGGCTGAAACTTACTTAGAGATTCCCTTATCCCCAAGCCTAGCAATACCATAGTAGTTTCCATTTTCTTTTCCATCATCCCTATATAACCCCCATAAGTATTACGATATTGCTACTGAGTGCTGGAGGAGCGGAAGAAAAGTGAGGATAATGGCGAGCCTGAGCCTTGGGCTGCTGCCATTCTCAGGTTGCCCGGGTCTTGCCACAGGTCTGAGAGGGAAGCCTTAGGCATCAGGGTTTAGGATTTAAGGATATTACCCTAACAATGGAGAATCAGCTGGAAAAGAGCATGCAAGTGAGTTGGAAATATAGCTGGAATGATATTGTGGCTTATAACCCAGCTGTGAAGTATAAACAGTTGGAAGTTGTTCACCGTCTGGCGGGACATGACTCCCTCCAATTCTTTCCCAGGCATACCGGCCCTGTACTGTACATGAAGATTTGATGCAGTTTCAGTATGAAGCCTTCTGCTGTAATCATGGATGTGAGTTGACTTGAACCAAGGCACCTCCCTTTCGTGAATGGTGCCCAAATCAACAAGATCAACAAGAACACCATCGCCGGCTTCCATGCTTTCTCAGCTCTGCTCAGGAGCCTCCGCATTCTAGTGCAACTCAGAATGATCTCTGATCAACACACCTTCTGGTTCCACGTGGTAGCTGCTTGCTGGGATGTGTGTTTCAGGGACCTCAACGAGCGCAGCGCGGGTGAAGCTCGACTGATTTGGGTAAGCTGAGCGCAGTTGCCAGATCCAGACCTTGAATCGTCTCCGAATAGTGGAGTAAGATAAAGAGCCTTCCAGGCCAAAAGGGAACTGGTTTCTCTTCAGCCCAAGGACCTGGCAACCCTGGATCTTGAGGCAGAGCGCCAAGCAGAAGCGGAGGAGACAGTTTTGCGGAAGAGCTGCGGTACTTGCGTGGCACGAGCTGGTGGGTCTTGCATGAAGGCATGACCTCATGATCTTGTTAAGTTTTCAAGCATTCTCGCTGTTGGAGACATCCCAACCCTTGCAGCTGCTCGAAGGAGAAGCGGAAGGCTGAAGAGGCGGAGATCGAACGTATGACAAGGCCTGGCCGACGTACACACTGCAACAGCAAGGCAACTTCACCCCGTTGAATTATGTAAAGCAGAAGATGCACGGAGTCTGTCTTGGCGCTGTGGGCAAAACATGTCAGTGGGTAGTTCTCTTGACTAGTCGTGTGCAATCCTTAGGCTGTGAGGTCTCTACTGACAATGCCTGTATATTGTAACAAGGCCACACGGGCTGCAGGGGGCAAGCTGTGATGGCTTCTGGTGTCACCCGGCGACAGGCTGACGATGCTTGCCGCTAGCGCTCTCACAGAGCAGACAGATCAGGACGGTGACCTAGGCCGTCTTGAGTGTGGAAAAGGGGGGTCCTGGAGATTGTAGATCAAAGAGGTGCAAAGATGTTCTCTTCACCGTGCTAGTGGGCAGTTAGTTGAGCTTACCAAGAATGAGAGAATGCCACGTATCTTGCTGGTCATATGATATCTATCCACATCTCAAACATGAATCTAATGAAGACAGTTCTAGTACTACATTTGCGCCCTAATTATCACCGGCATTGTTAGCAACATGCTTCCCCTTGCGTTCGATATCTTGTAGTCCCTTTTTGAATCACAGGGCATGCTGCAGTAAAGAGGCTGTTCTCATTATTCCGCGACCCCTGAATGAAGATGTTGCAGCGACTCACACGATGGGTCTTTCATGGTCCTTCAGTTCCTGATGAGGGAGTATGAGCTGTAGTCTAAACTGCTTAAAGGGGTTGGTACAGACAATATCTAGGGGAGTGTTATACGGGTTGCTAAGGGGATACTGGGAGTTTAGGCTATGGCTCAACAGTCTTGGTGGTCTTACCTCACAACACCCGGCACGCCAGGAAACTCTTGTGACCTTTGAATTCATGTTTGCTCGTCTTCAAGTCTTCCGTTGTAAGTACCCGTGCCTTCACCACAATCAGAACGACGCGTTTGGGCAGGACATGAAAGTTCCCGCGAGAAGGCTGCATGAGCCGCTGCTTTTGTGAGGGAGATGGCTTGGATTGACTGCTTTGCTTCAAAGAGGTCCCAGGGCCGGTTTCCAGTAATGGGATATTAGGGTTTAGGGTTTAGGGTTAACCCCCAAATAAATGGAGAATCAACATGAAAAAGAACATGGAAAGCGAACCGGACATTGACCCGCAGATGAAGATGAATCTCGAATTGGATTTTCAGACGATCCATCTTGTTCTTGGAACTGCAAGAAGTTCTGCAGGTGAATGCGGGGATGTGGTACAGGGAAGTCTCCTAGATTGAGGGTATTACTAGGGCCGTTACTAGGTGCATGCTGAGATGGCACCAGGATTTCCCGAGAAGAGGACAAAGGATATAGCGATGAACAAAAGCGGAGACCAGGCTGAAAAGAAATATCTGGGTCGGCGTCGAGTTACAAATCACATGATCAACCTTCAAACTGGGACTGCGGCACTCAAGGATTAGTATAATGTTAACCGACAAGATGTCCGTCGGCTGTGTTTCAGCCCTAGGAAAGGGCAGCAAACCTCAAGGCCCCATGTAGGACCAAGATGTCTGCAGTTGAAGCTTAGCAGTCTTGCTTGACATTTCTGTCAGCTGGGTGGTTCTTTGTGTCTTGGGTCTATTCAGCACGGTGGGCATAGAAGCATGCTTGCGACACGAGTGGATGGATCCCTACCCATGCTGCGTGTGGGGTGATTAGCCGTGTAGACGGTCCCGCCATTTTTGGTACCAATGGCCCATGATCTTTCAGGTTCAGGTACTCAAACGAAAACGCCCTCACCAGCATTCTCACGCAGCGACGGCAGACTTGAAACCTCTCGTCACTTCCACCACGCAGAGAAGTCCAGTCCATGCCCTGCAGTCAAAATCAAGGGGCCTGTTGGGAGGTATCATTTAGCCCTATAGAACCCCTATAAAGCCCCATCTCACTCCTGTTTCGATTAGAGCGAGCAGCCAGGTCACACGGCTAAGTAAGACAGTCAACTTAGTGGGGGTTAGTAGGGAATAAGCGAATCTACGCGCATATTACAGGGTTATATAGGGACTATAGAGGGGTAAAATGGGCAAGAAGGGAATACATTCTATAGGGATTTGATAGGGATAATGTTCCCTTATTCCTTACTTACCACCAGTAAGTCAAGCCAGAAGTGCATTTGCTGAGGAAGCGCGAGGACGCAGCCATCAGGGCAGCCCAGAAGGAGCGCGAGCCTGGGACAGTACTAGCAGCTTTTAGCTGCTACTTGGAGGTAGTCCCGCTTAAGTAGATAGAATGTGCCTTTGGGTATATTACAATAAGATCCCCATATACCCCATATTCTATCTACTTTAGGGGGACTATACTTGGAAATATTCTTGTTTAAGACCTTTTGCAAGCTACAATCCTGAGAAACAGCAAAAACATCTTTGGCTAGGGTTCCGAAGCTTTAGCTGCTATCATCCAGGGCACTCCTTGTACCCTTAAATTGTGGTATATGGTCCTTCGTTTAGGGTATGTGGAGGGTAGACGGAGGGTCCCTCGGAATTCTGCTCTGCTTTCATTAAAATATAGGGAAGCAGCCGCTGACTGTGAGCATGCGGGAGATGTTGATCGCTGAGAAGTTAACTGTGGCTTGCCATTTGTGATGAGTCCCTGTCCGGGGCTACCCACAGTAAAAGGACTATCGGACCAGAGCAGTTTGAGGTTTATGCTCGGGCCATCGTATTTGTGGAAACCATCAACGGGACTTGCGGCTGTTCGCGGATAGTCAAATCTACTTGAACTCACATTTTGCAGGTTCTCGTGTGCAAAGGCTGAAGCACAAGCCTAGAATTTGGTTGGATCCTTTTGCTTGCCCGCTGTACTTAATAATGGGCTTTTCTCGCAGTCGGAAGTGGAGCAATGCAAGGTCATTGCTGCGGGTGCTCGGATTGGGGTCCAGTTGCTTTTGTACACCTCGGGACTTTTTACAACACTGCTATCGGTGGGTGGTTGCAGCGTCGATCTTGTCAAGTCATGGTTTTAGTGGGTCTAGGGAAGACTTTGCCGGTTGAAGCACGAGTCTGCATAGGTACCACACAAGAGTTTACAAAAAGGTTTGTGCATCCAGCCGAGGAAAAAGACCCGGAAGCCACTCGGCAGCTAATGAAAAGATTTTCTGGACAATCCGCAAGGGGCACGTGAGCAGACGAACTGGGCTCAAGTAGGAAGGGACGTTATGGCTTATGTACCGCCCGCAGATATCGAGCTCCCGGGTTGAGGGCCGCTAAAGTCACGCTGAGGATCCTCGGTCAATTTGTTGAGGTAGGTGGTCAGGCACGGCTGGAGTCAGATCTGCTTGAGCTTGAAAACTAACTCGAACATTTTGGGAAGCTGAATGCTCCGGCAATTGATTTCGGAGTTCAGGCCTGCACTGACTCAGAGTGGCACCAGTACTAAATTGCTATCATTCGTTACTATTCCATTATGATTCCTATTCTTCGTACCAGTACCCTGATTATCACAGCTACTTCTATTTTAGGGACGAAGTGGTGCTTCCCCAAGTTCTCAAGGATGCAGTAGAGCTATGATGGTAATCTACTGACTATGACTATGACTATTCTATTACTATTACTATTCGAAGTGTTTGCCCAAGGATGTAGCAGAAGTGCTGCGCCCCCCAGATTTTGCCTTGGTCATTGAGCGCTTCAACTGGGCAACATGGCCAGTACGGATCAGGGCTGGTTTAGGGTTTAGGTCTAGAGAATATGTATATATATATATATGCTGAATATAGTAACATTGGGTATAAAGGACATGAAAATGGAAACTACTATTTAGGGTTATGGGTTCCCCAAGATTAGGGGTACCATTTCAGGGAACCTCCTAATAAGCTTTGAGATTTACATTGGGGTCCCCTTTTTGAAGTACCATTTGCTTGGCTATGGTTTGTTAAGCGAGTGCGTTTTCTCTCTTTCTGACATAAGAATCTTGTGGTCCGGGGGCTTGGGTGGGCACATAGCTGAACATGGTCTGCTTGAACCTGCTTGAGGTCATGTCATTTGCCTTGGGGAGATTAGCTCATACCACGTTTCTCCCCGCCTCCTACAATGTTACCATAAATGATGGGGGAGGCTATGATTTGTCTTCTGAGGAAGGTCCGGGCCTTTCAGAGAAGGAGCTTCGCAAGGCAGAGGCTGGATGAGTGCCCCAGATCTATTTTCCAATGATGGCCAGGGCCAAGAGCTCATTGCTACCACAAAGTGACCTGCCACCAGGAGCAATTCCAGGCCTACAAGATAGAGGGCCAGGGTGATGTACACCTGGATCGTGCCTTGGAGCAATGGCAATGGTTCCGGATGTGTAGCGAGATCCAGGTACTAGGGTGTGAACATGCATGGGCGGATGAAGGAACAGGGGTGGGTGGAAAGCAGAGTGCATGGCCAAAACAGGCAAAATCCAAGGGCAGCGGACACAGCACCAAGGCCTCTATGAGCTTCTCACGTCCATGTTCTACATGACGATCGATGAGGAGCGCCTGTGGGAGCACCTCGTTTTTGTGTTTCATCTCTTGCACCTGCCTCTACAGGTTGCGCGCATGCTCTCATCACCCCCACTGCCCTGAAAGGCTGTGATCAAGAAGCTCGTGAAAGAAATCACGCCCTTCAGCGCTTTGGAGAAGCAGGACTTCTGCATGCATCCGCATCAGCCTTCAAAGTAGCCCTTGATTGGGGATGGACAGTGGCCTTCTGTCACTATTTCTCCCAGCTACCCTCCCTGATTTTTGAGGAGCTCCTTAGCTTCCTCAGCAACTTGGACAAGATGGTGGTCGGCCCTCTTGCTCTGGGGCTTCTAGTTGTGATCGGGTGCTTTTTTAGGGTTCCTCCCTTGGGAGCCATAGTCATATAATGACTTGCGTAAGTGGGTAGTGGCGGTACATGAAAGCGGGCAAACATCTACCTGAGCAGCAAAATTTCCATCCAGCTGGGCCAAGGCAAGTACACGCAGTATGAAACAGACTACATCAGGACCTCAGTCTTGGCGGCATGGCATCTTAGGGTTTAGGGTCCCTAAGCCCTAAACCCTAAGGAAAAAAAAGCCTAAAGCAAAGAACTGGCAGGAAAGTCTTCCACGAGTTTGACGAGGATGGCTCCGGGGAGTTGAACACAAACGAAGTGCAGAGGGTACTGGAGGCGGTGAGGGTTTAGGGTGTAGGGTTTAGGGTTTAGGATCCACTGGCCTCTGGTTGGCTGGGAGTGAAGGAATGGACAAGAAAATGACAACTATTATAATGGTTTTATAGGGACTACTATTAGGATCCATTCCTTTATTCCTAGCAGTCATGGCTTCACTGGGCTCCCATACCTATGGGGGTTTTCCAAAATTTTAGGGGTACCTGCTTTTTGGGGGTCCCCATTTTACGAACGATAATAACCATAAGAATGACAGTAATTATGACCGGATCCCGAGATTTTGGGAAACTATCAGAAGTGGGGAATGGTTCGGTGGAGTTCCATGAATGTTTTGGTTGATCTCGGTTTGCTTTAATCCCAGTGCCTTCATTGACCCGAGTTTTTCAACGTGACCTTTGCCCCATGACAGCCCGACTAGGGTAATGGAGTACACTTGACTTTGATGGGTCGGGGTGAACACTTCGTACCCCAATGGAAATAATCCCCCTAAGTAGACAGAATATGATAGGGTATATTATGTGGATCTTATCATATACCCAAAGCCATATTCTATCTACTTAAGGGGGACTATAGTGGTATTCCGGGATGCTCACTCTGCAGGCCATCGGGTGCTCGCCTTTCCGCGGGACGCTTCAAAGGCCTGAACCGTAGGGTGTGGACAGGGAATTGGGCAAGTTGAATCACCTCGCTGGCTTCTGTTGAGTGCTTGAACTGTCTTGGAAACACAAGGCCAGCCACTTTGCTCAGCTAAACAGTCAGGGAGATAGCTGCTTCTGCTGCAGCTCAGTAGAGCCATGAATTCACTGGTGCTTATCATGGCCATCGCCCTCCCCGTGCTGTTCCTCTTCGGGATGCTAGCCTTCATCCGCTACCGGCGCCTTCAACAGATGCAGATGAAGTCCCCAGGAATTGAGCTTGTACCCCCCGTTGAGGCAGTGGCTGAGCAGACAGTGGGAGCAGGGCAAGATGGGGCAGAAGCCGTGTGACCCTTCGCTGCTGCTCCCTTTCTGACAGGCAACCTGCTGCACAGGCAGACCGGGTGCAGTCTAGATACTGGCTCAAGCCTATGAAGGTGAGAGTTTGGCAGCAAGGTTTTGGTGTAACATACCGTGTACAGACATAGGGCGGCCAGGAGGGAGACCGCTAGACGACGATAGTTGGTAGCTTGCCTTCCGTGAGCGGTGTTGCCCTAAGCAGCGAGCTCCGCGCGACGCACGTCATCCAGAAGGATTTGTTTGCGCGCCTGATGATTGGCATTGCACCGACAAAATCTTGCGTGTGCTCCTGGCTTCTGATTCAAAATTCTTGTAGGACCGCAAAGGACCCAGGAACACTTGAGCTTGAAGCATACGTTGTACAGACATGAGGGTCGTCCAAAATCCCAGGTTCATGTTTGGTTCAGCACGAAACAAGATGATGAGCATATGCACCAACACCCGACGTGCGCAAGGTTGGCACAAGGGCGGACCAAAGCTTATTGTTTAACTATAGAATACTAGCAGAATTCTTTCTGTGGCTCTATATTCTGCGATATAGGCCCTTGCTTAGAAATCAAGCGGCATGAGCCCTGTAGTGACGTGCGTGCATCAAGTTTTTAGGGCGGCATGGTTATTCCCGGCGCGCCTGACAGAAGGCGGCGAATAACGGACGTACGCGGAAGTTGAGCAAGGCGCGCACAAACTCCGCGCAAGGTGCGCGCAAGCGCAAATGGCATTGGCAAGGCCCCACTTCTGGAAGGGTTCTCCCACCCCGCTTCGGCCCAGCGCCAACTGGCAACAGCAGAAAAACTTGAGGTGTCTTTTGCTCGGCAACACTGAGTATCCTATCCATAGACATACCAAGCTTAGCTTATTACGAATTCCTCGTTTTTGTAATCTCACTTGATCATATTATAAAGTCTTCAAGTATAGGTCCCACTTCTACACCTCGCAGGAAAGCCTTGCGCGCGCAAGGTCAGCGCAAAACTTCGCGCAAGGGCATACCAAGAGGCATTTCTTGGACAAGGATTCTTTTTGGACACCCCCCACATGACGGCATTACTTAGCCGTGGACGGGACAGGAATGACGTCTCGGCAGAAAAGTCGCCACCCATTGACAACACCACCAGTCTCATGCAGACCCTTTTCCTGCATAGATTGCTCAACACAGGCTTTTGCATTAACAGCACTAGCCTGCTGTCGATCGCAGGCTTATTGATGCCGTGGATGCTGACCATTCACAAACTCTTGATTTCAACGAGTTCTTGTGCCCTGGATGAAAATTCATTTCAGGGCTTGTAGCGATCTCGTATTGAGGGCTTGGAGGTGGACATAGAAACAGGGTTGGATTCCATCTTGACTTCAAAGGTGCAAATCCATTTGCTGCATCACCCTTCGAACGACCGGCAATTTCAGTCTGCAGTGTGGTCTGTATTCTGTGTAAGTTTCGCTTAATCTGGAGTCGGTCCAGAAAGAACGTCGACTTAATTATCCCCTGAGCTGGGTGGGAGACAAGTGAGTCATCAATAGCGATGCCGCCGCGGGGTTGGCTGCTAGATGCTGCTAGTACAGCAGCTGCAACTAGCATTGCAGGGAAAGCTGCCGCCAACACCGCGATGATGATGACCGCTCCACCACCACTTCTTCTGCTACGACCGCCACTACCGCAGTCGCAGCAACTACAGCAACAGCAATGACGGCAGCAGCACCCGTAGCAACAGCAGCAACAACAACGACAACAGCAGAAACAGCAACAGCAACAACAGCAGCAGCAGGAGCGGCGACACCACCACCACCACCACCACCACCACCACCACCACCACCACCACAACCACCACCACCACCACCACCACCACCACCACCACCACCACCACCACCAACAGCAACATCAGCCTCAGCAACGACAACAACAACAACAACCACGACAACCACGACAACGACCACCAACAACCACCAACAACCAACCAACAAGCAACCAACCAGCCAACCGACCACAACAACAACAACAACAACAGCAACAACAACAACAACAACAACGGCAGTGCTGCTGCTACTGCTGCTACTGCTGCTACTGCTGCTGCTACTGCTGCTGCTGCTGCTGCTGCTCCTTTTCTTGTTGTTGCAATTATTGCTCACTATCACTTCCAACGATGCTACTGGTACTGCTACTGCTGCCACTACTACTACTACTACTACTACTACTAGCCCCCCCCCCGCCTACCAACTATGTTCCC